ACGCGCTGTGGTCCCGGAGCGCCGTCCATGCCTGAACACCCCCGGGGTCGCGTGGCCGCCGCTCTGGAAGGGAGCCAGGGCGTTTGTGGAGGGGTTCACCCGACAGCCCAAGGCGGGGATGCGGGGCGGCTCGGGCTCGGCCGGAACCCGGCATCTGCAGGATGGCTGCCTAGAACCACGGCTTTCCAACGTTCGTGATTCAGTCTGCGGCAGTGCCCTCCCCGCATCACCAGAGGATGGGGATTCAGATTTAGCTCCTCATCTCTCGTCAGCATGCTAGGTGGCCCCATATGCACATTTCTGGACTCCACCCTGGGTCACAAATGTTGTTTTCTCAGAGAAGTCCCACAGTTTGACCTCCAATTTGGGAGTCTACAAGAGAGAACATCAAGAATGGATTCTGGCCCTAACCGGTTTGGCTCAGTGGATAGAGCGTCGGCCTACGGACTCAAGGGCCTCAGGTTCGATTCCGGTCAAGGGCCATGTACCTTGGTTGCGGGCACATCCCCACTAGGGAGTGTGCGGGAGGCAGCTGATTGATGTTTCTCTCTCATCGATGTTTCCAACTCTCTATCCCTCTCACTTCCTCTCTGTAAAAAATCAATAAAATATATTAAAAAAAAAAAAAAGAATGGATTCTGATGACTTTGAGACGGGCAGGATCTTGCAGGCTGTGTCCGAGATGTTACCTTAACCGTAAGGCAAAGGCAACTCTCTTGGTGGAGACTTAAGCACAAAAGTAAAAACAAATCTGCAGTTGAAAGGATTTGAAAAGGAGAGGAAAGGCCAGTCCCAAAGTACCTCCCTCACCTGTCACAGAGACATTTTCTTTGGAAATGCACATACTCCTGGGCTGACTAATCAAAGAGAAATAAACAATTTAGAGTGGGTTTTTTATTTTATTTTTTTTTAAGTATATTTTATTGATTTTTTACAGAGAGGAAGTGAGAGGGATAGAGAGTTAGAAACATCGATGAGAGAGAAACATCCATCAGCTGCCTCTTGCACGCCCCCTACTGGGGATGTGCCCGCAACCAAGCTACATGCCCTTGACCGGAATCGAACCTGGGACCCCTCAGTCCGCAGGCCGACGCTCTATCCACTGAGCCAAACTGGTCAGGGCTAGAGTGGGTTTTTTAAAGTTGATTCCTGCTAACTAGAAAGACTTATGGTGGGAAATGCTGGAGAGGTACAAGTGGTAAGGAGAGGGGGAAGGAGTAGTTTTGCCAAAGGCTAACCTAGGAGGAAAGGTGGGGACCACAGGGACCAATCAAGATCCTATCTTATTTTTATGTAATACCTTAATCAATAAAGAAATTTAAAATAATAATAAAATATAAAATAAATTTAAAAAAAGATCCTATATTGTTTCAAAGCACCAAAAGGAGAGTTAACTGAAAAAGATTGGGAAAATGTTGGACTTTCATCTGCTATTTCTAATTACACTAGGAAGAAATGCCGCAACATAAGTCAAATGAAGTGGCTCAGTTGATTGAGTGTCATCAAAAGGTCTTCACTTCGATTCTGGTCAGGGCACGTAGGGGGAGGGAAGAGGGGCTGGACATCGAGTTCAGTAACCAATGCCAATGATTTGCTCAATCATTGGCCTATGTAATGAAACCTCCATAAAAATCCCTAAACAGGGTTTGGAGAGCTTCCAGGTTGGGGAACACATCCACGTGCCAGGAGGGGGTGCAACCCAACTCCACAGACAAAGAAGCTCCTGCACTCGGGACCCTTCTAGCCACTTCACCTGGCTGCGTATTGGTATCCTTTATATTAACCTGCTAAATGTAAATAAAGTGTTCTCCTGAGTTCTGTGAGCCATTCCTGCAAATTATCCAACCGGAAGAGTGAGTCGCAGGAACCCCCAATTTGGCGTGTCAGAAGCCCAGGTGACCCAGGACCTGTGACATCTGAAGTTAGCGCCATCTTGTGGGACTGAGCCCCTTAACTGTGGGTTCTGATGCTTACTCCAAGTAGATAGTGTCAAAATTGAATAACTTGTTGGACACTAGTTGATGTTGAAGAATTGAAGAATTACAGAAGAATAAAGAGTAAACCATGAAAAATCACCTTTACAGTCCTATTGCCTCACTCCTGTTTTCCTTCC